CATGACCTTATTACAAATCAACGGGCGATTCCCATTCGCTCCAGAGAAACTACGTGGCGTGCTGAAAAAGCATGGGATCAAAGTTAAGACGGCGACTCAAGAGGCCGATGATGAGTTGGGCAACTTGGGGAGAAATGGGAAAGCCTTTGCGGTGTTAGCGGAAGAATCCGACTTTTTAGCTATGAGCGGCGTGAGGTACATTCCGTTTAGGGAACTGAGTTTCTATCAATACAGTCAGAACCTCGAGCAGATGAGGATTCGAGTTAGAGTTTTCTCGTCCGAAATGGTGGCGGCATCGCTCGGCCTTGCGGTGGACCAGTTGGTGGACTTGGCATTACTATGTGGCAATGACTTTACGCCCCTATAGGACAATGAATTCCACATGGCCACAATGCTAAACTTCCCAATGTATGGATGTGTAGATCGCTGTATCCTTTGTGTGCGGCGAGGTGGGTTACCGAGCACATACCCGTGCTGCAGAATCCCATCTTGAGCCAGATCGAGGCCCAGAAGAAAGAATTTTTGCGCGCGCTCTTTGAAATCTACCGATTTTACGGACACGCTGCTGCATTTCTAAACAAATTTCCCATGAGAATCGAGCCAAATCTACCGCCGAACAAATTGGAGCTGTACAAAAAGATGATCGACAGCTATAGCTTCCCTCTCATGGCGATCGATATCCTGGAAACAAAAGGCCATAAACTTAACCAAAGGTTTGATGCGTTGGCGTCGGTGTCTGGTCTAAAAGACAAGTCGTTGGATGAATTGCAAGCTCCAGTACGGCATCTGTCGTATTTAGTGCTAGACACACCAGTAGTCAAGGAAGAAACAGTCCGTGGTTGTGTAGAGGTTCACGTTGTGCCGTTGGAATCCCTGGATCCGCTCATATCGGTCCCTATCCAAAGCCGCAGTGGCAAAGCAGTGGGGCGGACGTTCCGGTCTTTGATGTTTGTTTTTCTGTATGGAGACTCTAGTGGAAGAACTCGCAGGGTGGCACGGTTAGCTGGTGCGTATGGAAGGGAAGACAAACAGATTGCGGTACAGAACATTGTGTACGCTCTGCTTGTCTTATGGAAGCAGGACCGCACACATCTGAAGAATAGAAGCTTACCCGATGATAAGTTGCTGGAGCTGCTATTGCTGACATCTTTAATTTCGTTTACTGTGGACTCTTCCGACCAAAAATCAACAGACCTGGAGCTTACGGTATTCGACGAACGACTATTGAGCATGGAAATTTACGCTGCCGTGGGTGGCTATCTGGAGACACTAAAGCAGCTTCACCACTTGCGTCTTCTCCTGGGAAGCAAACTGCCACCAAACTCGGGTTGCTCGACGTATTTCTCGGGCGAAGTGTTTCTTAAGGTGTGCCATACCTTGATGCAGAGTACTAGGAGCTCATCCACGGCGGGAAAGTCGACGAAGAGCGCGTCGGGATTGTCTTGCAGAGCAGTGGAGTCCGTCATTTCCAAGTTTGCTGAAATCTCTGACAGAAAACGGTTTTGGTCTCACTATACGAATATTCGTGGTGCAATGCAACGCATGAAAGAATTGGTCGCACTTCCAAGTGGTGTGGCACGTGCTAACGTGGCTAGCAAGAGTGCAGCGACTGCAGCCCTAGAGAACACCATGCGAAGCAATGGATACATCAGCGTGGATGGGTTCGATCTTCGACCACCTGATGCCACACCACCATTGCCGCTTTCCTCGCCATCGCATCTTCAAACATCGGTCAACGCTCGTTCGGTGAGGGGGTTAATGACATCGAAACCTACAGAGCGTACTAGCACTGACGATGCCGTAGAGCCTGAGCCAGAGCCCTCGACGTCAGTAAGTCTGAAGGGGATGATGCAGACATTGCCAGTGTTTGACCATCGCGAGGAGATTTTGAAGAACGTGGCGATAAATCAACTGACAATCATCCAGGGCGAGACTGGCTGCGGTAAAAGTACGTCTGTCCCTCAATTCTTTTACAACGCGTGGGCTCGCGCCAAAGCTTCATTCGAACGTCCTGTCAACATTTACGTGACACAACCAAGACGGATTGCTGCAATTGAACTGACCAACACTGTGGCAAGGATGCGAGAAGGAAATGGGTTTGACGAGGTTGGTCAAGTTGGACAAGTCGTTGGCTATCGGATTGGCCAGAAGCACGTGACTTCCAGCAAGACGAAGATTACTTATGTTACCACAGGATACATGGTGGAGCGAATTATTCACGACCCCGAGGCGCTGACGAAGATTACGCATCTGGTGCTGGACGAAGTGCACGAGCGCAGTATGGATGTGGACTTGCTGCTTCTATTGCTAAAGCTTAAATTCAAAAACCACCCTCAGGTTCGTGTCGTGATCATGTCGGCAACCATGGATGCAAAGCTTCTTATCCATTACCTAGCAAATGCACTGGCGGCACGGTTGGTCAACAGGAAACCTCTTTGTGTCGGTTCCAAGCTGTACCCGGTGGAAGACATCTACCTCGACAAGTTATCGGATCACTTCCCCGGTCTGTCGCAACGAGGTCAGCAGGACTTGGTGCTCATGAAAGATCAGTTTAAAAGACTTTCAAAGCCTCAACACATGACCAACAGCAAACTGGCGAGGAAATCGATCATGAATATTCACGACAACCAGTTAAAGCTCATTAAGGAAATGGTGCGGTGTTTGATTCGGGAGCAGACTCAGCAAATTGAGTCGCAATCGCAGTGCATTCTCATCTTCCTCCCTGGTATTGAAGTATCAACAAACTGTTCGAGTCGATAAGTTTTCTCGACAAGAGAGCACGCGGTCAGAATGTCCAAATTAAAGTGCTGCACTCCGAAATTGAGCTGGGAGACCAGCGAGAAGCATTCAAGTTGCTTGGTGTTAAGTCAACCAAAATCGTCTTGTCCACGAACATTGCCGAGAGTAGTGTAACCATCCCGGATGTCACGCATGTGATTAACTGCGCAGTTGAGAAGCAGATCGAGCTGTCCAGCGTTAAAAAATTACATGCAGAAGTTTTGAAGGCTAATTGGTGCTCGAAAGACTCGTCTATCCAGCGTTCTGGACGTGCTGGACGAGTGATGCCTGGCAAGGCATTTCACTTGTTTACGAAGGCATTCCATGGCTCGTGTATGGCTCAGTACACCACCCCAGAATTGTTACGCAAGCCGCTGGACCGCGTCATCCTGCAGTTCACCGGACGTCTGAGCGAGTTTAAAGTGCCGAGTTCTCTTCTACGCGGAGCTTTGGATGCTCCAGACCTCTCGCATATCGACAATGCCTACAGGTTGTTGGCTTCTTTTGATGCGATTGACTCGGAAGATGAGAAGGACTCTCGTTTGACAAGGTTCGGGTCTTTCGTCTGCCACTTACCACTCAGTCTTCAGCTGTGTCGACTGCTAATGACTGGG